ATTAAAATTCACTCTTCGTTCAGAGTCATTTCCCGTGCGAAGAATAAACCTCACTAATACCAGAAAATTAATGATCTAAAGGACAAATAATGCCACGAGATTACTGGATTTACTGACAAATTGCTCACTTCGTTTATTTCGCTTGTCTGACGACGGAAATCTTCATTACAAGAATAAATTGATCGGACATGGAGCATTTGATCTGCGAATTACTTCCGTACAGTCAATAAGGAAATCGACAGTAAGGCATTAATTGGGAACTGATGTAGTTTAATTATATTAGACAGTGTTGTTGAAATTAAGTTCCCTTGTACAATAACATACTGACAAACATATCAGGAACTTTATCCAATCAGAAGGATTAAAAGATCTAATTCTTAATGAATCACTTGCAGAGCTAAAAGGGAAGGGGATGCCCCTAAATGAGACGTTCAATATTGATTGATTTTAATTGGTACATTAGCATACCATCAAGCTTCCCTCTCCCTTCCTCCATAACAACGCTCTCGAAGTTTTCGCCCTGACTGGTGAATAATTAAAAGTGCAATTTAGCGGGTCCTTGATCAATACCAGATAATGTCATAATCACCTTTTCCTTTTCTCTGCTTTAGGTTGCCCTTTATTTCGTTTTATTAAATGCTTTCATTTATTTTTTAACATTTTCTTTGTTTCATTTGTTTTATTTTTGCTGTGTATCGGGTACCCTTTAATTTCGTTTTTCAAATAATTCTTTAGTGCATTTGATCGAGATCCCCTTCTGGAATATCCGCCTATGCATTTGTTCATATCTTTCCCAGTCATCTAACATTCAACACACAGTCATCTTAATCCAAAGGTTGCCAGTTCCATTCCACCCTGTACATTGACTCGTGTCTGCACATTCCTATATTGTGGGTTAAAGAGAAAATTGATTTTTGGTAAAAGCTGTTTAAATAAAAATTAATTTAAGAGTTTTTTTTTCTCTTTTTATCATAATAGCAATATCTTATGAAAATTGTTTTTTCTCCCGAATGCCCCGATATTCTAAATAATTCTCCGAAGAACTAGATCAACACTTGGTACCAAATCATGATGTAACATTTGTTTGTAGTACCATATATCCCCTGTGTGCAGTGTTTTACACTTTGTGCGATTACTGCCAGCAAAGATTTAGTTGATTTGTTATAGTTTGAATGAATAATGATTCCAAAATGTACGACCGTATATAATTCACCTTTCCCAATAGTTTCTCTTCACAATGTGATCGCGGGGCCATGTCCAATAAAGATTTGCGATTGGTCCATCAGATTGATTGCAAGTCCTCCAATCAATCGCAGACCTAAAATTCTGGACCCGTTTTCATAAAACTTGATATTAATAAAAAGTTACAATAACTGTTATAAGCTAGTGAAATCGTGGCATCTAGTCTGAGAGACTGTGAGTCAACTTGTCATATAACTTTATCATTTGCTACTGGTAACAAGTTTTATGAAACAGGGTCCTGGTCTCTTCAGTACAGAGGTCTAATTGTTATCAAGTTCAGATCGACACGAATCAATCCCCAAACTCAACTTTGTCTTTAGATTTTAAGACGGGAAACCTTTTTTTTCTACAAATAACCTTTCGTCATCTTTTAAGAAACAAATATCCGACTCATTCCAACATAGTAATATCATGTTGATATACCGCATGACAATTGCACGAACTGTCCTTTATGATATGACGTCATCTTTGACGTCATTCAATTTGATGCAACATTGCCAAAATTGGTTTGATTTCTCGTAATCGTCATTATGTAGCAAAATAATAGCCGGCAAATAACCTTTGAATGGTAAAGCGAGTTTATATTCGAATATCACTTATATATCACGTTCCTGTTTTTGTTTAATTCTTGAAATATTTAGTTTCGTAATGTTTGTGATTTCAGCAATGTTTAAGTAAATTTGTTACAATTTGGACGGTTCTAAACAGACAGCTGATCATTTTTACTGCATAATCAGCACTTTTGGAATATCTTCAGGACAGCTAGCATTGCTAGCTAACCAGATACAACTGCACCGAGAAGGGAAAACGTGTGCAAAAACAATTTTTTTCCAAGGATGTAAACCCCGAAAAAAGATCGAACTGGAGACCTCTTGTATGAGAGCCATTTATATTTCGACGGTGTTCTCACCCAGCGATGCACTGAACGTCGATCGATTGACGTGCAAGTCTCAACTGCCAAGACGTCTTCCGCTCTTCCCCGGGATCTCTTTTGTGACAAGCCAGTGGGTCGGTATCGGAAGCGATTCTTTAGTCACTCAATGAAATCGTCTGGCTCTACTTGATAAAGAACACAGGGGCTAGCAGAATGAAATCGATTTTGACAGGAGTGTGGTACCTACATACACTCAGCATCGGTCATTATGTACTCGAGTTCCGGTATATTGAAGACTGAAGACCCATGGGTTTACTCCCCTCCCACACCCACAAACTTTATTCTGTTTATGTGTTGTTGTTTTTTTCTCTCTCCCTTCCCCCTTTCTCTTTCTCTTCCTCTCTTTCTCTCTTTCTCTCTTTCTATATTCTTCTGAAGACGGAATAACGAGATTTCACCCCACAAATTATGTCTAATGTTTTTTTCTTCTTCTCTCATCTTCTATCTTTATTGTGCACTCTTCATCTTTCTCTCATATTCTGTCTTACTCTTCCCCCTCTCTCAGTCACTTTCTTGCTCTGTCTTTAATATATGTCTCTGGCTCTGTCTGTCTTGATTTTGACAGAAAAACGGCAGTCGCATTTTCAATTCGTTGTATAATGCAGCAATAACAAAAACATACAAAGAACAATAAACAAACAAACTAAAATAAACAGTTATTTACCAAAGTGCAATCTTACAAATGTTTACGTCCATTCTTCTGGATGTTTTAATTTCCTAAAATTATCAATGAAGAACTTATCGTTTAAATTTGTTAAGATTTTGTCCATAATTAGTTTGATTAATATCATAATTTATCACATATGGTCACTTCAGTTGCCATAGCAACACAACCTATATTATCTGTAAATCTGATGAAACTATTAATAGGTCTAAATGTCTGTCTCTTGGGAAAAACTACTAATTTATTTATTTCACCATTAAACTAAGAGTTTCAGAACTATATTATTGTAGACCATTAGCCGGATTTTGTAATTTCATGGCCTTGGGTTTCTACTTTATATCCCAAAATTGTTACATTTTATTTCCTTTTTTCTCTTACATACTTTGTACTGATATATAGTGTATGCTTATGTGTATATGTATTAAAGCATAAAATAAATATATGTGTGTATGTATGTATGTATGGAGGGTGCTTGTGGGTGTGTGTATATGTGAGGTTATAATGCATCGTTATGTTGTGTTTTATTGTGTAATGTATCATGTATCGTTATGGCGACCCAATTACAAGCCTTGTGATTTTAATACGGAAATACCACCGAACTTTGGTTTTATATAAATTTGATACAAGAAGGAAACTAAATTTGAATCTTTGATTTTTTTTTCATGCACATCTAATTTTGTTACGTCACAACTATTACTTGATCCCTTGATCGTTAAAATCCGCGAATACACGAATACTGTCCAGACATAATATGCCAATTTACTATATTAACGTCAGAAGCTTTGTAAATGGCTAACATACATAATGTTAACATTAAAACAGTTGATCCATGTTATCCAAGTTCGATGAGAGAGGAAGAGCACATTATTTGTGGTCTATAATTATCTTTTCTTTTGTCTGAAACATAATTCGAAACATTCGCTACCGCTCATAATGGTCTCATTTGGTTCATATTTTCATTAATCTAACCGCCCTTCTCTCTATCATTATCAACTATCCAATGCGGCCTAACTACAATGAAGCGCCAACCGCTTCTTTTTAAGATATTTAAATAGAATATTGAGAAAAGATAAATCGCTTAGGAAAGAATAAATAAGAAGAAAGACAGATTGTCAGAAGATGGAAGCAGCGAGATAGAGGGATAGATAGAGAGAGAGAGAGAGAGAGAGAGAGGGGGGGGGAGCGAGAGAGAGAGAGAGAGAGAGGGATATATGAGTGCATGTTTGTGGAGGTTGTATGTTTATATGTGTGAGAAAGAGAGAGAGGTATAGATAGTGTAAAGGAGGAGAGACGGGAATAGAGAGAAGGGTGCCAAAGTGGATGTAAAGTGTTTGTGGGAGAAAGAGGGAGAAAGGAAGAGAGGCCAAATGTTACATCGATTTTTATTTGTGATGCAAATGAAAAAAGAATGAGGAGAACAAATCCCTTTAGAGAAAATTTTTATAAAAAGAGTAGAGACAGATGATAAAAGAGTGAAGCAGCGAGAGAAAGAGAGGGACAGAGATAGAGACAGAGAGAGAGAGAGAGAGAGAGAGAGAAAGAAAGAGAGAGAGAGAGAAACAGTTATGGACGACAGTCTTCAAGAAAACCACTTGCTGAAAATACCAAACATTCAAGTGTCAGATTGTGGCCACAAGTGTCAGCTTCTAGGATTTTGGTCATGGAAGATGAGGTGACCAGACGTGCCGAAAGACGGTATCAAAAACAATCTGTAACATTCCGTGTCTGCAATGCCCAACCCAAAATAACGATTCCACATGAATTCGATTCAAGCCATGCAAGGTTCCAATCAATTAGTCACTCGCCGCAATCTACTTCAGATCATAAACCCATTTTCTCACTCTCACTCTCCTGTATATAATGCGTGAGTAGTATGTTGCACATGACCGAAGCAGTCTAACCATGAACCCACAGTAAACCTACCCACACTTTTCACTCCCACTGTCCCACACGCACACTTACACTCACGCACGGCATAGCGCACTCACTCAATCCGCGGAAAGTTTTCACCGGCACAGCCACTCACCCGTTGATTGGTCAACTGCCAACGAGCAGCAGCCTATCACAGCTGCTGGAGGCGTGGCTTAGGCCCTTCGCATCGCTCGTCTCTCGCGTACTTACCTCACCAACATGTTACCGCGTTTACCGGCAAGAGAAATTATCTTTTTTTTTGGAAGTAAGGCAAACGATACGCGGCCCTAGATTCACTTTTGTTGCAAACTGACTAAAGACAACAGCTTAGTTGGAAATACTTCATTTAGACCCTTCACCACAATGGAGTTGTAACAGGTTTATTATGTGAGCTGGAGACCTCAGCCTTATTGACACTATTAAATTGGACATTTTACCTCATTTCATTTGATTTCGGACTTACATTCTCCAAGCGGTTCATGGTAAGCAAAATTTACAAAATTTGAATTTAATATTTGTTAACAATCACTGTGTTATGGTATACCATGGAATACGCATTTTTACTTGCTAAGATCATTTTAGTGATGCTTTATTTTAACAATTTGAATTGCACCTTTCCGCCTTCTTTCAATCATATTAAAGCTTTTGTTTGCATTTACCATCCTTTAATCATGGATGCCAGGTCATTATTTAGTAAAGTGTATGTGAAGATTATTTCAACAAAATGGAAGTAGATATGCTTTTTAGACACTTGCACACTTGCTGTAAACAGTTTAGTACAGGTAACATTTGGTAACCATTTATCCTGTCTCAGTTGGTTTGGAATAAGGAATACATGACGTCGATCGTAGAACTATATTTATATTTTTTCATTTCTTACTTTAATTCTCTAATCAGGGTCTTGTGTCCATTGTCATCTCAGGGATCTTAATCCCTTTTTATGAAACACTTTAGAAACATCGACTTTAGAAATCTACTTACTTTATGTATTTCGTGCTTTAAATTAGTAAGGACTAATATTTGAACATTACCTTTGGAGCTCGGTAGTCTGATAACGGACTTTTTAACCATCTTTATCCTAGAGATTGTATCCTCTGTTCTAAAGAATACCTGGCATCAACCGTAAACCATCATGCATACTTTTTACAGCACATATGGGGATTAAAAAAAATATATTTTTATAGTTTATCATGCGTTTTATAAATTAATATTATTATTACATGAAAAATGACATTCATAGATGAAACTTAGCATACAATCAGTGATTTCATTTTGGTGTTATGTCTATATACCATGCATACAAAATCTACCTTCTCAATTTCTTTATTGATTACGAGAATACAACAATATATTATACCAAAATCTATGAAATGCTTAGCAATTGAATAGTTTGCATCTGAATTATCATATATTTATTTCACTCATATACCTAGAAACAGTTTTTTTTTAATTTACAGTATATTAGGCAAAATGAATGTAAAAGTAGGCTTGAACGTTTTCATATTTCTTCAATTTTTGTGAGAGCAAGGAGAGCGGAGGGGAAATGGTAAAGAAAAAGAGCGAGAGAAGTATGGAAGAGGAGAAATGAAAAGAGGTTTCTTAAAGGAAGAATGTAAGAGATAGTGGGAGTTAGGAATTAGAGAGAGGTTAGATGGGCGTGGAAAGGTCGCTTCACAGTGTCCCAGTTCAATGGGGAAGACCCGTTTATTTCACCTGTTCTTTGATAGTGAACATCTCCAGTCATTAAGATCAAATTAGCTCAGTCTTATGTTCCTCTTAACCTACCCAGAGTAATTCTGTATACTCCAATATCCGCCAGTTTTTCTACACCCCTACAGAAGCTCTCGTTGCTTGATGCTGTTACAGCGGGATAATGCAAACTTCCGAAAGAAAAGAGCGTTTTCTTTCACTTTTCAAACTCTCAATGAACTCCCTGCCGAACAGAATTGCAGTGTCTTTTACATTGTACGGTACGGCTGTAATTTTAGATGCTTTATGCCATTTTGTTGCTCTGATATTTCCTTCTTTTTGTCATCTTGAGGTTTAAAAGCTATTCCTATGTAGATATAAAATACTTATCCAGGTTAAAGCATATTGTGTCATTCCCATTCACGCTTATATTTCATTAGGTACACCTTCTTCTGTGATTCTCCCCCTCTATTCATTTGTCTAATAGTATGTCTGCCCCACTTCTCTCTCTCTTTCTCTCTTAATCTCTCTCTCTCTCTCTCTCTTAGTAACTCTTATTAAATTACTGTACATATTTTCCCTCGTTTTCGTCCCTCTATTCATTTATCTGCTCTTTCATTGGCCTGTTTCTCGTATGTCACCCCTTCTCTGCTCCTCCTCCTCCCCTCCTCTCTCTCTCTCTCTCTCTCTCTCTCTCTTTCTCTCTCTCTCTCATGGTATCTCCCGTTCTCTACCGTCTTCTTTGCAAACTTAGCTGTTGTCTTGCGTCTTAACAAATCTTCTCGATTACATCTGCCTCCCACGGAGGAAGAACAACGCAACGCACTCTTTTCCGGGATTAACGATCTTCACATCATCCCCAAGGTCGAAGAGGAGTCAAAATTATGACAAAACCAAAAAAAAAAATTATAATCTTTTCCCGCATGCTGATAATGTTACACCTAAACAAAACTTTGAGCAAGGAGGAGATTTATAGATCTCTCAATTTATGAAAGACGGGAAATTAGAAAAGACGGATTTTCAAACGACAGGAATCAAGCCAGGCATCGTACTTTGGCAAATTAGAACCGGCATGCATGTTTTCACAAGATGTATTTAATCTGTTATATCTTTTATAAACAGCGAATATGTTCATGTATACTACTTTGGACACGAAGGCCATGAAGTAGCATTAAGGAAGGCATTGCACTTGCAAATTGGAACCGGCATTCGCGTTTTTACAAAATGTAGGGTTATTTAGATTCTACTAAATACGTGAATGTATCGATGTTTACTTCAAAATGTGACGCATAGTTCAAACTATTGATGCTAATTGATAACAGTTCTATTGGAAATATCCTCAACGTCCATGCTCCCTCCCCCATTCGTTTTTTGTTTGTTGAAAATGGAGCCCCTTTCGACATAACATTAACCCACGCTTTTGAGGCCTGGCCGGCTTGGAGTGTCCAATCCTGATTTAAATAATAATCTTTATCACGAGGGGGTTCGCATCCTGGCCGTGGCGGTTAGTGCGGGCCCCCATACGCTTAATACGGTCCGGAGGATGTTTATAAGCAGGAGGAGAAGAAACTGTAATTAAAGACAGAGGTGTTGGCATGAGCCTGAGTCATGGTGCAAAATAATAGGATCCTCCATCTTCCTTACGTCTATTTTTAGGAGCTCTTATCGTGTTTAAGTGTCGAGAAGACCTCCCCCTTCCTTCCATTAGTTTCGCTAGCTTACAAATAACAGCGTTTCATGGCAAGAACGCCTCTACAATTGAGATGTTAAGCTTTATTGACCATATTCACATTTGATAGGTGCAGATAAGATCATTGTATGAAATTATCAAGCAAAACATATATATTTATAAAAAAAGAGTAATTCGACAGTTTTATTTGGAATGATTTTATAGCCCGTCATTGTACTAAATCATAATGTCACGGGTTCAGGGCAAGATTTAGGGGAGAATGTTAAACACGTAGCGGTTTATAGTTCTAAACTTTGTCTTGAGTTATCTATTTAGACAAATATTAAATTTGCCTTATTTGTATCTGTCATACTGTCGATTATGACAGGGATACCGTATTGCCGAAGAAGAAAAATCATTAATATGCAGAAAATAATGTTTGGGGCTTTGGGCAAGCAATAGTCTTTAATTCAAACTCAAGTAATATATTTTGGTTTGTTTATTACAATATGTTTTTTTAATGGGACTGTCTTGTTCTATTTCAATTGTTGTACATTTTCTTTTACATATCAGATATTAATAGATTGTTTAATTGGCAACATTTCTGGGTGTATGGATTTAATTGGCTTGACAAAAATGTATCGTCGGAGAAAAAACAAAGCTGTTAATGTTGCCATAGATCCATTCCATATTGCCTAATCCGTGAATCGTGTGAGTGTATAAGCTGCAACCGAGAATCACTCCAGTTTTGATTTTGACAGATATTTGAGGCATTTAATTATAAATAGAGAGATTATTACATGTTTTGACCACACCCGTTCTGGAGTGACCCATATACATGATACAGTGTATCAAACTCTTAAACATGTCACACAGAACTGAAAGATCAGAACTGGTGTTCCGGATTTGAGAAACAACTGTTAAGGATCCTCCAAAAGTACCTTCTTCGGAGGCAGACATTGTGAGAAGATTGAAGTAGAGAGAGAGAGAGAGAGAGAGGGGGGGGGGGAGAGAAGGGGGAGGGAAGGGTTTGCTAATTTCCAATGTAAATCGACATGAAACGAGAAATACGGATAAATGTCCATTTATAACTCACGATTTGTCACTATTTGTAGTTATTGCCTAAATTCAATTAATTCAATATCAAGTTACAAAATGCACCCCCTATTTTTCTGCCTTGCCAAACGTTGTGTATTTTGGCTAGTCATTAATCAACATTTGTATACATGTATGTCATGACCATAAACATTTTTAGAATGGTAACTTAACAGTGCTCGAAAGTGATGAGGAGGATTTAGCGAGTTGGATTTAACAGGGTGGTTTTGATTAACAATTGCAAATTGTAATCTGGTGATGGACAGAATATTTAGATCAGTAATCATCCACGTTCTATTTCAGTCATCGTTAACCTCTCCCATCTGTATCCCCTCATCAGAACCCCACGCTTATGGTCATTTGTCAAACGGAATATGAATAATCATTGCTATTAATGTATTGCTCGCTACATGTTAAAGGGAAAGTCCACCCCAAAAATAAGTTTGTTTCGATAGAGGCAGAATAATAAGAAAATCAGGTGAGTGAAAGTTTGAGCAAATTCTGAATGAAAATAAGAAAGTTATGAATTATTGAAGTTGTGATCAATCAAACACAAATTGGCAACTCTATGACGTATCATGCGAGCTCAACTTCCATTTGCTCAGTACTAAAAAAATCTAAAATTTTCATTTTCCCTCAAGAAAAATTTCAACCATACATGCACCCTAAATATAATAATTGCAAATATGTTTCTATACTCCCCCTGCAAGGAACAAATATATATTCCGTCATCAATAACGAAGAAAACATGATTTTATGGAATATTATGCACAAAGCAAATGAAGGAGAGCTCGTATAATAAGTCACAGAGTTGCCAATTTGTATTTGATTGATCACAACTTCAATAATTCATAACTTTCTTATTTTCATTCAGAATTTGCTCAAACTTTCACTCACCTGATTTTCTTATTATTCTGCCTCTATCGAAACAAACTTATTTTGGGGGTGGACTTTCCCTTTAATCTTTATTCTAAATAAAAATGCATCGTGTTACTTTATCGCGCCAACAAGATTCATTTTTATACATGT